CAGTTTCCAATTGTACATTTGGCGAGATTCCATGAAATTTGCCAGGCACTGCATTGTGCAGTCTATTTTTTATGTTATCTTTGTTCAAATCTGATATATTTGTAATAGTGCTGATACTGTTTGCGTCTCTCTTCTGCAGGGCTTTGGTAATGTGGGCTTACACAGCATGAGGTATCTCACCAGAGCTGGGGCCAAATGTATTGGTGTGATGGAGGTAAATGGAAGTATATTCAATCCTACAGATGGTATCAGTGCCAGGGAATTGGAGGATTATAAAATTGTAAGTTATTGTGTTTATGTTCTTCTTTTGTTATCTTATTGATACCAGGTTGTAGCCAGGTGTTGTGGTTTTCTGTATCTGTATTGTTCTTCTCTGGTGGATTGGATCATTGATTTGTTTATCTTTTTGCAGGTTTCAGCCACACCAGTTATCCATCTCTTTCTTGGTCTTTCTCTTGCCTTCCTTCCAGATGTTCTGCTGTAAAAAATCTCATATGCAGTAACCCTATCTCTTCTCATGTTGTTAATCTATGTTATTATATTTCAGTAATGCTTGGAACATCTGATAAGACTTCTGATTGTAAATGTAAGTGTAAGATAATATTCTTTACCTAATAGGCTGTTATAGGAAGAATTTTCTTCAAAGGACTAGCTGCATGATGATGCGTAAACTTTAGTGAAGCCTATACAACAACCGAACAGCAAATACAAACAAGAAGAATAATATTCAAACTTCTTTAGATGTCTTTGAAATTTTCCAAGCAACACTTCCTAACAGTTTTGCCCTCAGTTGTTGTGACCGTTGTGGTTTTCAGTAAGTCATTTAATTGAACTATTTCCAGACAACACCCTTAACCCTTTCGCTGCTACGTTCCCGGAAATAGTTGTCCTCCCTGTGCTAAGCAATGTGAAAAAAAAAGTCTCTGCTGTGCGCAATACTTTTCTATCCTCCAAACGCAAGAGATGCGTCTGCGGTGAGGGCTATATTTTGTACACCCAAAAAAATGTACCCTGGGGAGTTGTGTGGTTGGTCCGAGTGGTGACAAGTCAGAGGCACGATGGTGGCCCACAAACTTGACTAACGGAGCTATCATCCTTCTGGGGGGGGGGGGGGGGGGGGGGGGATTAATGGGAAGAACTGTTCCCTGTCCGTATCCCAAAATTTGATTGACGAACCTACCACGGCTGCCACTTTAATCATAGTTATTTGTAGTCACCATGTTATTAAATACCAAAATAATAAAAAAAATTTAATAATAATACTTGAGTCGTCCGTTGATAAAAAGTAGCAGGAACTGAAAGGAAAATTTACAATAATTAAAAAAAATAAAATAAAAACACGACTTCGGGGGTTGAACACACGACCCTCTGATTCTAAGGCGAACGTGATACCAACTACACTATACTACCGCTTGACGTATTTTGCTGTGTGAATGATAATAATGACCGATGTACGCAGACTATCAATAACGTGCCTAAGCTTGTAGTCTATCACCGCCTGCATGAGCACTGTTGTCTGAGAAATGTTTGAGATTCTCAACAATAGTAAAAATATGTCTGTTGACATTATTTCACGGGAGTTTTTAGCAACCAGTCTTTGCTCAAGTACTCTATTTTGAAATTCTTTGTTCTAAGCATTAGCAGACAGACAGCAAAAAAAAAAAAAAAAAAGTTCGTCCGAATCTGTGTCTGTCCATCGGGAAAGACGAGAATTTTTAGTGACTGAACTGTTTGAATTTTCAGTAGCAGAAATACAGTTAGAGCTGGAGTCATCAAAATTATGCACTACTGGTTTCAAATCAACGTTTCATAAAGACAACTGATCAATTTATTGCCGTTTTGATGGTGCTTCATTGTCGCTGCTCTCTGATTCCGACAATGAGGACGTCGGACAGGCAAACAGCTTTTTTTGGACACGACGGTTTCAGCAGTCGATATTGATGGCCTAGTCAAATCCTTTTGTTCACTGTCAGAAGTAAACATTTCAAAGTCATCTTCGCTATCACTTCTTGACAGAAACTCCATAAATTCTTCATCAACTTTAACAAGTTTTCTTGCCATTTTGTACTAAGTGTAGAAAAATACAAAAGCACAAATATATATCAGGGCACAAAATACACAGATCACCGACCACGCTGTCACGGTAAACAAAGCAACGGGATAACGCAGAATGCAGTAAACACACCTTAAACACACCTAAAAGTACGTGCCAGTGCTTTTAATCATATGTAAATGGGTCAGTTTAATCTAAATATAGCTAATGTATATTGCCCTTCAGCCAATAAAATACGAGGTAACAGAAATCTGTAGGAAAAGTCCAAAAACGGCTTAGGACGTCCATAGCACTGGGGGTCAAGAAAAAAAATAACGTCCAAAGACGGGCGTAGCAGCGTACGGGAAATCGGGAAAAGACGTCCATAGCAGCGAAAGGGTTAAAGTTTAACCTTCCGCTTTTCTTTCCATTAGTTTTTTTTTTTTCGTAACAACAGATAACTTTCTTCTTGTTGAGTTCACTAGAAATCAGCTTATGTATCTGCAGTTTTGTTGTTTACTGCATCAACTGCACTGTCTTCTAAAATTCTTGAAGGATTTAATAGCATCTGTTATCCAGGGTTATTTCATCTGGCGATAGAATAAGACCTTTCTTAACTTGAATTTAATACCGTTTTGTGGTATAGGTTCTGCAGTTTAAAGTGCTTACCCATGTGTACACATTACTGTAGAAATAATGTTTTACTTTCGGTACATGTGGCTGTTGTGTCTAAAGATAGTGACTTGCCCAGTCTTGTCCAGTAGAAAATTGACCAGTGGCCTGATCCTCTTTATAAGTTCGATTTCTGGACAACGAGGGGATGAAATAATGAAGAAATTGAAGCAGTGGCATAAGTTTTTGAGAAGAATGTAGAGAATGTTGTGAACAGAGATTAAAACTGATACAGAAGTATTAAGTGCTGCAAGTGAGAAAAGATTGCTAATCAAAACCATAGGGAAATAAAAAAAGAAATTTAATTTCTGGGCATATCAGTAGAACTTACTTGACAGATTATCTTCTTTACACATCGAATCTGTCGTTCCCTTTGTGCTCAGATCCCCTCTCCAGTAAATCCCACGTGATGTAATGGCTGAAGACACCAGTTCTATGTTGGTTTGCAGTTCTTCTTTGGCTTCCTGCATAGTGTTCTTGTCTGGCTCCAGCCTGTTTCATTTACTGTTCTTGTAGTCTGTTATATTAGTAGAAGAGGTGGAATGAACGAACAAACTTTATTTTGAGAGGGTCACAAATTGGGCACTCAGGCCTGTCATACATTCGACCCTTCCAAACACACATCTTTCACACGGCAGTAGAGGTAGAATGAGAAAAATGGTAGAAAGCTTAATAAACAGCTAAAATATGGTAGAAAGCTTAATAAACAGCTAGGCAACACATAATGTACACCGCCAGCTTCACCAGAATATAAGTGATAGTGAAAGGGTTAGAGAGTCTACCTACATCTAGACTAAGCACATGAGTATGATTTTCTGCTGTTTGTGTCCCTTAAAAGGTGGTCGGTCGTTGTATTGGGTGTAAAACTAGAGTGTGCAAGGTCAGGAAGCATAAATAGAAGGCCAGTCACACCCTGTTTGGGGTTAAAAATGTAAAAGGTTCTGATCTTCCTGCGTTGGTTTTTTTCCTCCACTAAAACTTTACTCCAGTGTTCCGTAGGTCTAAATGAGTAAAATAGCCATACAGTAATGCATTTCTGAATGTTACCCCCCCCCCCCCCCCCCCCCCCCATCCCATTTCCCTTTAGCATTTTTTGGGTCATACACACATACATATAAAGGAATGAGAAAATCCCAGGTTTACATTGGTCAAGGAATAGGCAGAAATGAAAATTAGGATGTAACAAAGAAAGGGCTGATTATTAACAACTTAGCAAGATCTAAACTAAGGAAAGGAAAATAATGGAAACTGACTGTTTGCTACTCATGATTGTAAATCTTCAAGGCACTGATAAAGTTTCATTAAATTAATTTGTTTCTTTCCATTCTAAATCCAGAATAAAAATATTGTCATATTTAGGGGAAACACTTGCAATATAATGAGTGGAGATTGTGTTATTTCAGGAACATGGAACCATTGTGGGCTTCCCCAAGGCTCAGGCTTACACAGGCAATCTACTGTTTGAGAAATGTGATATTCTGGTGCCGGCTGCAAGTGAGAAACAGATCCACAAAGAGAATGCAGATCAAATTCAGGCTAAAGTATGTCAGAAATCCTAAGATTCTATCTTTTTGTTTTGTTTTTAATGGTTTCCTTTGTCTTTCTATTGCAATTTTCCATTGGGTATTTTTTTAAAATCTGTACTGTCAAAATAGCTAGTGCTGTTGCCTTTCCACACCAGAAGACCATCAGTTTTTCTGATCAGTATGGCTCTAAGGTTGGCTCAGGCTGATTAAGAATGAGTGGTGGCCAAATTTCATGGTTGAGGGTTGTCTGGGATGAGGAAAAGATTGAGAAGGAAGGGGACCCCAACTACATATAGCGGGCTAGTTACTGCTGCGAGGCTACCATTACCTTTCACCGGATGTTTTACTTCACAGGCAAATTTCCTTCTCTTTTTTTCTTCATATTCACATCAACTCAGGTGGAATGTCCTTGTTGTTTGTCACTTCATGTCCCAGGACTTAAGTATAGCTTGCACTTCCATTTTACAGACCCTTTTCTTTCCTTCGCTTGAAATAAGGTGTCTGTATGGGCAATTTTGTCTCTCATATAAATTTTGCTGTCGTTTTTTAGTTCATTCACTGATTCCGTAGAGTTTACGTTCCGCTATTATTCTTTCTGGCTGAAAGATTTGCCATAATGTGTCATATTCAGTGCAGTCCTGGAGTACATGTTCTGCTGTCTGTGACAACTTTCCACAGCTGATACACCTATCTTGAATTTTGTGTCAATATGGTAGCAAAATCAGTTGTGCCCTGTTCTGAGGCAAAGATAATTACTTACAGACCTGGCTTATTTGTTGGCAGACTGTTGATTTTTTACCTGTCAGGCAGATAAACTCTTGACTTTGAAGGAAGCATCCATCCTTTCAATGTTGGCTTGACCCCTTGTAAGAAAGCTCTTTCTGGGATGGCTGTATAGCTAGGTCTCTGCCAGTATGAGCTCTGGTCCTATTTCACTACTGCTTCCCTCAGGCTAATGAGTTTGTGTGTCAGTACACAGTGCCAGTTGTCTTTTTTGGTCCTCCAGACTAATTACTTTGTCAGTACACAGTGCCATTTGTCTTTTTTTTTTTTTGTCCGCCAAACTAATGAGTTTGTCTTTCAGTACACAGTGTCAGTTGACTTTTTTTTTTATCTCTTAGACTAATGAATTTGTCTTTCAGTGCACATTGCCAGTTGTCCTCATTGATCCCCAGACTAATGAGTTTGTCTTTCAGTGCACATTGCCAGTTGTCCTCATTTATCCCCAGACTAATGAGTTTGTCTTTCAGTGCACATTGCCAGTTGTCCTCATTGATCCCCCAGACTAATGAATATGACTGTCAGTACACTGTGCCAGTTTTCTTTGATCTCGCAGGCTAATGAATTTGTCTTTCAGTGCACAGGGCCAGATGTCTTCTTTGATACTGCCAAGTGCTTTTTTTTTCTTCTTCTGATATTTAGCAGAGGTTAAACTGCATTAAAAGCACAAACTTAAATAAAACATTTTAAGAACATGCTTCTTTCCTTTGGAAACATTAGGGTGTGTTGTGTCGATTACCCAATTGTGGCACAGATAAGGGCTTTTAAACTTAATGAATGAATTAGGAGTTTAACCTCATTGCACTCCAGGCATTCCTGTATTAGCTCTATCAACTTCCTCAGTAGCCAGAGAAGAGGTCCCATACTGATGATGCTAACTGCAACAAGTCTTCCTGTCTTTTCATCTGCGGGGTGAAAACGCCCAGACTTTCTGCTCACTCCTCATTTTTTTTGGGGGGGGGGGGGGGACTTAAATTTTGCAAGCCATTTTTAAAATTTTGATTATGCTGTTGAAAAAAAAAAAGAATAAAGAAAAATACTGAGATTCTACGAGACCTCAGCATTGAAGAGAACTGGTTCCTGAACAGTGCAAAGTTTTGGAAAATAATATACAACTGAAATACTTTGAATATACGAGTGCTGCAGTGGCTTACAAAGAACATATGTGGAAGGCTTGGTTCCAGGAAGAAGAGCTGGAGGTTGACCAATACAAAGATGAGCACACACAAAGAAAGTTGGGGATAGCTTGGACATAAAAATGTGTGAGATTTTACAAAAGACAGAGAGACCTTTTTGGGGGCTGTGATGGAAGCTACCGGCTGCAAAAGATTTGATTTCAAAAGCTGGAATTTTTCTTAAACTTTATTTTATAACTGCATTAAATGGGAAGATTTGAGCTATAAAATGCATGTATAAATTGTCAGTTTTTGTGGCTCTTGTGTGTAATTATGTTAATCAGTATGTTTTTCTAATTAATTGTTATAAATTATCTTCTCTTTTAATTATGTCGCACACTGATTCAATTGTTCAGTCTTATGCAGCATCTCATTGACCCTGGTTGAAAAACATTGAGATAGTGTGTGGAATAATATTCATATAGTAGAACAAGACTTCAAGTTTTTACCTACATATCTTGTGGTAGAAGAGCAGGTACTGTTAGTGAGCCAGATAAAATCAAAATAATATAAGCTACACACTATTAAAGCAGTGCTTTTGATAGATTTGTCATTAGCATTATCTCTATAAATTGTCAACAGTGTGATTTCTCTTCTCACAGATTATTGCAGAAGGTGCAAATGGCCCCACTACCATGGCTGCAGACAGTATACTCCTGAAGAAGAATGTTCTCATTATTCCTGTAGGTTTCTGACAATCCTAGGAAATTTTATTTATTCTTTTCAGTCATATATAACTCATTTAGTGCTAGTTTGGATATCAATCATATGGAGCCAGCACTATGTGTTTAACTCAGTGCTTGAAAACATATCCTTGACTTTGTTGTGCATCCTTTACAGGAAGTTGCAAACCAGCTTCTGTATTTATTGACTGTGTGGTTTTACCAATTAAAATGAGGATGGCCATAGCAATGCATAGATTAAACAGCATTAAAAGTCGATGGTTAAGCACCAGCAACTAGATCAAAATTAGAATTTTGAGAGCATGCATCTTCCCTGTAGCAACATACGGATGTGAGTCGTGGACTATCTCTCAGTCCTTAAGAACGAGAATTGAGGCTTTTGAGCTGACATGCTATAGAAAGATTTTCAGAATGTCTTGGACAAAGAAGAGGAGAAATACTGATATCTTGAAAGATCTGAACATCAAGGAAGATTAGCTAATAAACAGCATCCTGTCTCAGAAGCTGAAATATTTTGGTCAAATCAAGCACCACGGCGGATTGGAAAAAATAATAGCAGAAGGCATGGTACCAGGAAGGAGGGGCAGTGGCCGATAAACACGAAGATGGGCACAGGATATAAGTGACTTCTTTAGTATGAAAGTACATGTGCGGTGGGAGAGCTGGCAAAAGACTGAGTTTCTTTCAGGCAGACCGTGATGAGAGCGATGTTCTGCAAAGGACCTGCTACGTGATGATGATGATGTGGTTTTCCCAAACAGTTTTACGTCCACTAGTTTGCCATTTTTTTCTGAATAGCATGCTTTTCCTACCATTGTCGAAATCAACGCAGAATGGTCTGCTACCAAATCGCCTGCAGCTGAATCGAACCTTTACTCTACTTAGTCTAATTATTCATTAAAGGGAGTGGGTTACATTAATGGCTAGTGCATTTGCTGACCAACACAGTGGTCTGTAGGGAGCTGTCATGGTATAGTGGATCCAAAGGCTGTGTGTTTAAATCCAAACAGACTTTTTTCCCTGAAAAGACCTTGGCTCCCAGGTCAACCCAGCCTTCAGTGGGGCCAGTCATAGTCGTGGGAAGTAAAGGAGGCCGGCGTGAGTTTGACCATATCACCCACTGAGTGCCGATTGGTCTATAAAATACAGGTCTAGTCCTGTATGCTTAGTATGCCTCAAGGCATTGAAGAGGGTCCTTTTTAATGGCACTGATGACTAACCTTTACCAGTGATACTCATGGAAATTGAACATTTTGTGAAGTACTTGTAATTGGTGGACTATTGTAGAACACTGATTATTTTGTCTTCATAAAAACAGTATTTCATATTACTGATGCTTCCTGTGTGGGTTCCTGGTCCCCTTAGTAGGGAAAACAAGAATAGACCCACTACCTTCCCTGCAAGCATACCGTAAGAGTCAGCTAACTGGGGGACTTCCTTCGAAGTCAGAGTGCATCTACCCAAGCAGTAAGAACAACCAACTGCACACAAATAAGCTAGTAAAACATGTTCACGCAGAACTACCTGGCACAAAGACAAGGTCTGAATAGACTGACTACCAGGACTTTCCTCCAGAGCTTACAGCCAGTAAACAAAGAAGAAGAAGATATTACTGATGCCCCATCATGTCTCTTGAAACCGAAACTGGAAGGCTAACCTGGTGGAAAAAAATGCCTGAAGAAAGTAGATGTGTAGGCCAAAAGGCGCAAATATCACAACTTTGCTGTTAACAGGCCCAATACAATTACGTCACTTGGACAGACAACAGAAGATATTACTGATGTATTTATAAGTGAAATTAAATATCACGTTTTGAGCGTAAGCTCTTACACTATATTCAGTAGTTCTTACTACGTCAACAAAAGAGGCTCAGTTAAAAAAAATATATATAGAAATCATGAATTCATTTTTATTTATAAGCTTGTATGCTTTAACTATAGTCAATATTGATAACTTGTCAATTTCTGCAGGACTTGTTTGTAAATGCTGGCGGTGTCACTGTGTCTTATTTTGAGTGGCTGAAGAACCTCAACCATGTCAGTTATGGTCGCCTCACCTTTAAATATGAGAGGGATTCCAACTATCATCTGCTGGGTTTGTTCTTTTCTTTACTAAACTCAGGAAACATTTCATGTTACACTGATATCCAGATATCTGTATGTGTTGGTGATATCAGTTCAGATGAGAAGCAAAGGATATGACAGGGCAAGGATAATGTTCCTATCATAAAATGAGTAGGCACAATGTGCAGTATATTATTGATTAAGAGGTTGAAGGTTTGAACATCGGATCAACATCATGGCACACCAGTAGTAACCCATAACTGCTATTTCTACTTCTAACTCAAGTCTGCGTTAAAAGTAACTCAGCGCAGTGCACGGGTTCCGTAGCACCGGTGAGGATCCTGAAATATTTAAAGTAGATTTTTAACTCCAAATTTTGCTCGGGCAGCGCCATACAGCTACTCTTTTTGATTTTCAACTGCCAAGGGATTTTTTTATGTGCGCAACAATGCTCATAGGCGTCTGATCTCACTACCCAGAGACCAGGGGAAATTACTAGAATTCCACGTGAACAGAAAAAATCCCAGCCTTCACCATGGCTTGAACCCGGGACCTCTAGCACTCTAGCACTCGAGGCGGACACCATACCTAGAGACCACGCAGCTCCCTTATATTATTGATTAGTTAGTTAGTTGCGGGTTTGTTACAGGACATTGTAGAACAAACCCCAGCATTGTTTTATATTTGTGGTATTTTCTAGGCAAATTTGTGTTCAGTAGTTTCCCATTGTTTTCTGAATGTTAGTTAGTTAGTTGGTTAGTTGGGTTATCCTCATTGCACTCCGGACATGTCCATAGGTGCTCAGATCCTCCCCTCAGTATGAACCCCAACGTCTGATGGCTAATAGTACCAGTTCTATGTTGATTAACAAGTCTTCTGGCGTGTCTGGTGTGCGTCTCGTTTTTTGCTGTACCAATCTTAATTCTCAAGTCTGCCATTCTGGCGAGTGATGTTGATTCACTGCCACCAAAGTCCTCTATCCTTCCCATTTCTCTGAGGGCATTGATAATATCAGCATGATCCATAGGCTGATCGTCGGTAGTGATAGCGGATCCAGCCAACCTGTCAGCTCTTTCATTTCCATCGACGCCTGCGTGTCCCGGAACAAAAATAAAGGTGACTCCACGCACAGTGGACTTCTGTAATGATTCAAGCCATTGTCTTCGCACTGAACCTGCCTGAACCCTCCGGATCATACTCATTGAATCACTGAGTATACACACGCGGGTGTATTTTTGTGTTTCAAGCCAGGCAAGCGCTTGCGTCACTGCCATCACCTCCATCGTCATGCTGCTGGTTGTCATGGAGAAGGCGCCGTTGGCTTCTTTGACTGTTCTGCCCGCTGAGCGTGCTGTAAATGCCCATGCGCTTCTTCTTTGGCATATAACGGATCCGTCTGTATAGATTATTGCATCTGCTTCGTCTGAATTTTCACCGATGAGAGCGTTGACCTCTGCATTAACAGCAACAGGATTCTCTTCTCTACATCGCCTGTTGAGTGTGACAATACAGGAAAATGTACAAATAAACGCCTGAGGCACAGGTATCCATTCTGCAACAGGTATGATGTCGGTTAGGCTGCATATTTGCCTAATAACATCTTCTGCCCGACCTAACCACAATTTCCCCCTCTTCAGTCTGTCGCCCTTTTCACTAAAAAGCGCTTGATGCAGTGGGTGTTTCTTATCAGCACATATTTTGAGATATGCCCGAGCCCTCCACATCCTGATCCTTTGGTTCATTGTTGGAAAGTCAAGTAGATACCTCATTGCTCCACAGGATGTGTCTCTTGTACATCCCAAAATAATGCGCATGGCTTCATTTTGCACCTTTTCGAGTCGTTCAATCTGGGTAGCACTGACAGTGAGGATGGCCAGAGCGTATTCAATGGGGGAAAGGACCAGACCGTAGAATAGAAGTATTAGTAGTCTTTGCTTTATATTGGAAGCAGCCATAATCCTCATTGCAGATAGACCTTTGCGTGCCTTTGTTATCACATGGTCAACGTGTTCCCTGAATGACAAGCTGCGATCGAACCTCACCCCGAGAAACACCATAACATTGGTTCTGATCAATACACTATCATGCATTTTCACTTCTGGTAAGTCCGACTTGACAATGTGATTGTTCAAAGAGAACCATGACACTGATGCCTTCGAAGGATTGACATAGGCATTGGAACCATCACACCAGGCGGCAATTCGATCGAGTTCTTTGTGTATAGTGCTGGGGATCTCCTGTCTATCACGCCCTCGTCGATAAATCAAAATGTCATCAGCAAATGACAAAGTCCTTCCCTTTCCATTCAACTGCTGCTCAGTGATCATCACCGTATAAACGTTGAATAAGACTGGTGATAGCGGTGATCCCTGTGGCAAGCCTGGACATATCGTTTGCGGTTCTGAGGACCAGCTACCACATCTTAGTACAATCTTTCTCTGGAACAGGACCGCAGCAATCCAGCGGATCAGAATAGGATTAACTTCTAGTTTAAGCAGTAATTGCATTAAATAATCATATGGTACTTTATTGTAGGCATCTTCTAAGTCCAACACTGCCGCACATGTCTCTTCTTTAATCTGAAATCCCTCGTACACATCGTAGGCGAAAACTACAGCATTGAACCATGTCTCTTTATTTAACCTGTACCCTCCAAGTGTTGGTGGCAACTTATCATGTAGTTCCAAGTAGGTGGTCAATCTTTGTGTGACAATTTGTGCTGATATTGAATTCCTTTGCCACGCTTTTCAAATCAGTATTCAACATCATCAGCATGTCGTTGTATCGGATGCCGTCAGTGCCTGGAGCAGTGCTGCGCGATTTCTTGAGGCAAGTTCTTAAGGTATCTGCAGTGATTGTGAGATCAGTGCCTAGCACAGTGTTCTCGCACAGCATCGACAGTTTCATCTTAACCCCTATTCTTGTAGCTTCGTCTTTTTGGTCAGTTTGCTCCAAGTAGCGCGCCAGAAGAGTTTTTCCTTTATCAGCATCAGTTCTCTGCCATATCATGTCTGTACCCTGAAAATCAGGACTTCCGGTGTTTTCTGAATGATCGCCCCTCAATACCACTGTGCAAGGTGGTCTGCTGGCACATAGCCTGCAGCTGGGATCAAACCTGGCATCATGAAGAGTGTTCGCAGTTCCTAAGCCAGATCTGCAGATATATTATCAATAGTCACAAAAAATAAATATGTTTTAAAGAGCATTTAGATATGCAGATATATTATTAGTAGTCACAAAAAATAAATATGTTTTAGAGAGCATTTTAATGTACGGCTGAAAACTACAGACTGTAAACAGAACTTAGAACTATTGCACACAAACATGATTTTACAGGGAAATATGTCATTAACTGTTGAGTGAATAAAGAAGTGGATGAACAACTCGAACATCCGCCAGAGTTTACAACTATGAACGCTAAAAAGAAAATTTTTATGTGACCACTAGCAACAGCAGTAATGATCTTGTGTACTTCTTGTAGCCACTAGAAAAACAGGAGGATTCCAACAGCAAATAGAATTTTGAAAAAAATAGATGCAGCGAGTAGAACTTCACTAAATCATAATCATACATAGTAAAAATAAACGTTATAGTTAGAAAACCTTCATCAGCATACAAAAAAACAGCAGTGATGAAAATACATATAATAACTTACCTGTTTGGATGCAGTCCACTGCTGTCAAAATACCTGTACATGTTTGAAAGCAACACTAGAATTTTGTGATCGTAATTGATAATATACAGTTTAGCATGCAGCTCAGAAGCTCGCATTGGAAGCTTTTATTAATAACATGACCTAATGAGGTCTGTCAGCATCTGTGCCTTTTTGTGTGTGTGTTTTGTTTATTTGTTCATCCAATTTTAACATAAGCTGTAATTCCTGGACAATTGGTAGGCAGGCCAAACAGTTTCTTGAGGCCTCAGAGATGTGGCCTACAGAAGAATGCTTAAAATACCTTGGACTGCCAAAAAGAGCAACCAAGAGGTTTTGAAAGAGGCAGGAGCCCGAAGACATCAGAAGGAGACAGTCATAATTTTTCGGCCATGTTATGAGAAGAGGGAACATAGAACATGTTGTGACCACTTGAAAGGTATGTGGAAGGAGGGATAGAGGAAGACAGTGAGAGAAGATTCTTGACAGTCTTGTAGCATGGCATGGAGGTGTGTCAGCCCACGAACTGATACATGCTGCAGGAGATCGCAGATTGTGGAGAGGCATGATCGCCAACACCAGCCGGCAAGGCACATGATGATGATTAGGAGATGAAACAATGTAGTGGTTAGGGCACTGGTCGTACAGCCCCTATCAGTGATTCTTGCTCCAGCAGAGATAAGGTTGTATTTTATCCAACTCAGTGACTGGTTATGCCTCATAAAATGAATGGCAGTGAATTGTAAAAGTGGCAGGTGTAATATTGGTCATGTTTCCATAAATGCAGAGCAGTTGAAGAACAGTTGTCTGACATCTTTTCCTACTGGCTGACGACAGGTAGTTGGGTTGACACGATTCCGTCTTTCTGGACAATAGTGTTTTTATATTGTGCTACAGAGATGGTAAGTGTGACCAGCAAGACCCACTCACATTAAGAAATGCTTTCCACTATTAGAGCACAAGATTTCAGGGCCAGCTGTCGGGGTATTGACATCTTTGTTTCAGAGCAGTCAGCGAGGTATTTATTGGAATGGCTTTGTTTTGTTTCAGAGAGCGTCCAGAGATCTTTGGAGCACAAATTTGGAAAGAATGGTGGCAAAATCCCTATTGTACCAAGTGAGGAGTTTGAAAAGAGAATAGCGGTAAGTTACCTCGTTTTAAGATGTTGGCACTTAAAAGGACACACATTTGGAAAACCTGCCAGTAGTATAACTACAAAGTCCTTTATATGGGAGAATATATGCGGCTCCACAGCTAGCGCGAGTGGTTAACAGTTTCATGATCCCCGAGTGCTGTGGTTCATTCCCGGTGGTGGGTTTGGAAACAAAATAAATTCTCATGGTTTTGGGGCAGTGGCACAAGTGTCGCAGCATGGAAGAGATTAGAGCCGCATTGTGCAACATTCCCAAAGACAACCGTTGTGACAACCTTCATTGTGGAGACGGTACAGTATTTATATGTATGGGAGATGTCTTATCCTATAATCCCCACCCCCACCCCACCCCAAATCATTTTTACCAGAAAGAATATGAAATATAGCATGATCTAAAAAAAAAAAAAAACATTTGGAGACAAGAATTTAAAAGATAAGTGAATACATTTGAAGAAGACATAGAGTTGCAGAAAATAGTGAATGATAGAAGTGAGTTTGGTTAAAGGCCTGCAGAAATCTTCTGTTTTGGAATCTTTTATACTTCAACTATACATTATCATTTCCTGAGTTCAGGGAAAGAATTTGTCTAGGAAGCTCAACATGTTTTAGTTCTGGTAAAATATGTATATTTGAAATGTTAATGGGATACTGCTGTCTGTCTTTCAGAAGGAAATGTGTAGTGATGTTAAAATGCATTCAATATGTTTTACATGATAAAATAGACACTGGATTCTAACAGCAATTTAACATTTCAGGGTGCATCAGAGAAGGACATTGTACACTCTGGCTTGGAGCAGACCATGGAGAAATCTGCACGTGTAAGTATATATGTAAATATAAACATTGTTACATAGGATAGTCATTTTTCAGAGTCTTGGAAATGCAAGCTTTAGCATCTTAGCCTATTGGTGGTAGGTTTAAAGGCATCTTTTGAAATTTAAATGGGTTCTAAGACCAACCATGACTATATCACGTTTCGTGTCTCGTACTTACTTAATCGCTCCTCTTCTACCTTTGGGTGTAGAGGTTTGCCAGAGAGATAGCCAGACGTCTCTCTCAGCAGTTTTCTTTCTGGCTTTGTTCCATTCTAGTCCTCTGTCAGTTAGGGACTGTCGGATGTTGTCTTTCCAGCGCACCCTGGGTCACCATGGAGGTCTGGTTCCCTGGTTCTTAGCCTCCCATACCTGCCATGGCGGTAGATTTTCTCCCATTCTGCATACGTGTCCAAACCATCGTAACTGTGACTGATCCACTCAGGTTTGTAATATCTGGATTTCAAGAACATGTCTCGTTCAGACTTAATTTTTTCAAGATTGCTTTTTGAGCCGCCTACCTTGTGGCTTTTTTTTTGGGGGGGGGGGGGGGCAAAGCATCACCAACTACAGCAGACATTGAGAAGATTCTCGGCAGTGTAGGCATTGAATCTGAAAATAAGAAAATCACCAAGATCATCAGTGAGCTCAAGGGAAAGAAGTCTTGAAGTACTGATTGCAGAAGGCTCCAGGAAGTTAGCCTTAGTCCCATCATGTGGTTGTGTAGCAGTTACTGCTCCCCCAGCAGGTGGTGCTGCAGCCCCAGCAGACAAAGCGACAGCTCCTGCAGGCAAGAAAGAAGAATCTGAAGACGACATGGGTTTTGGACTGTTTGACTAAACAGTGGCTTCAGTAACAACTCCTTTACATTGGGAAATAAAGTGTACTAATAAAAATAAAAAATGGTAAAGGGATATTTTCCAAGAAGTTAAGTTGGACAGCTTATATTGATTATATTATGCATTAGTTAGTGTTGACTGGTCCATAAAATATGGGGTTAGTACTGTTTGTTGCTCTTAAAGTATAAAAGGAATCATTCACTTTTGTATACAGTTTTTACAGTTGAAAGTAATTCATACATGCTTTCTATTTTATGACCTTTTCAGCCACTGTACTTTTATTTTGAAATATTCTCTGTAACAGTATTTTCTAATTAGTGGGAGAAATAGAGAGCATGAGCAGTAAAGAGAAAGAAAATCTGAGAAAAAAATCAAAAGATATGCACTCATGTAGAGATAAAAATGACATCACTATAAATAGGAACTGAAAAATGGACACACTGGGTTGAACGACCTGCAAATCTGAACTGAAATACATAGAGAGAGAAATGTTAACAGATACAGAGATAAACAAAAAAAAACAAACATATGATGAAAGAAATCATAACTTCTAACACTACTAGAAAATAGTTTGTTTCTGTTCTTATAAGATCTGAACATCAAGGAAGATTGGCTAATAAACAGCATCCTTTCTCAAAAGCTGAAATATTTTGGTCATATCAAGTGCCACGATGGATTGGAAAAAATTATAGCAGAAGGCATGGTACCAGGAAGGAGGGGCAGGGGCCGACCGACACGAAGATGGGCACAGGATATAAGTGACTCTTTGAGTGTGAAAGTGCATGAGGCGGGAGAACTGGTGAGAGACCGAGTTTTTTTCAGGCAGACTGTGATGAGAGCGACGTTCTGCAAAGGACCTGCTACATGATGACTGTTCTAAGTACGCCAGAATACTCCAGTACACATAATCATCCCCATGTGAGACGCAATTTTTTGTTATTTTGAAGCCTCAGCCTGGCTTTTGCTGGGAGCCATAAATATAGCCGGGCCATAAATGTGGCCTAATGGCTGAACATGGTCTCCGCATGGAGGAACCTTTTGTCACCAGGTGTTTTTCGCTTGTGTGATGTCCTGGTGGGATACAACTTACCTACCTATATACACATGACCTGATATATGTCATGACCTGGTACATTGCGGCTTCACGATAATGACCTTCACAGTTTAATTTGGTTCTTTTTCTGTTAACTTATGTCAGAACATCATGAAGACTGCACAAGAGTACCACCTGGGACTGGATCTGCGCACTGCTGCATACATGTCTGCCATCGAGAAAATTTTTGATGTCTACCAGGAAGCTGGCCTGACCTTCACATAAGCCCAGATATTGTTACCACATCTGTGTATCGTTGGCACTACATCAGAGTCACCTACATGCTCACTAGTTTGTTATGAGAAAATCATCTTTTGGAAAAATCAGATTAAAATGTTTTCGGCCGTTTTGGTAGAGGAATTAGGGAATTTACATGTGTGCCTTTGGCATATAATAAAGCAACAAATAACAGCCCTGGGTATGCACTTAGATGAACAATTTGCCAACATTGCAGTTTGGTGACTTTGGCATAGTGTCAGTGTATTGGCTCTCTAGGGGCTACCAGTTAGCTTCTTCAGTATAGTAGTTTAAATAATCGTTGTAAACATTATTTCTACCCCTGTATGATCTCCTTTTTAAATGTATTCAGTTGATAATGAATTCCTTCCAGCATTGGCTACAGCAATGCCCGATGTAGCACTAGTTTATATTTGTTGATGAAATCTTTTAAATAAAAGTTTAGGGAAATCTCAGTCTGCTGTGTTAACCTGGCTCCCAGAGCAAAGTGTGTACAGCAGGCAATGGGGAACCATGAGGCACCTGCAGCTGACTTGTGTATTCATAGAGGCAACCCACCTAATGGTCTGATCTGAGCCCACGAAACCGAATACAAGGAAGAAGAATATTCTTCTTCGTGGATTAAATAAAAATCCATAATTAAACATATACTATAGATTTTGGTGGATCTCCGTGACCAAGCCATTCGCCGCATACATTCAAGGTCGAGGGTTCGTTTCACAGCTGTGTCGTCCGGTTCATGAACACAAATTTTAAGAAGACTTATGGGTGTCGTCACTCTAGCTGCAGTGTTCATGCTTTGTGCAGCGCTTTCAGCAGGTGGCCAGCTGTTGTGTAGAGATAGACCGAGCCATTTGGGATTAGGATGAAAACCTGGTGCAGTGAAGTCGATTCTCCCAACTTTAGCCTACAGATCAGATCTGACCACTTCATATAAACCCCAGATATTGTTAGTTTCTCCGCACATTAGCTCCCTGTAGGCTAAATTATTCTGTGTAGATGTAAAGGTAATCATACTAGTAATTATTCCAGTCTTTCCTTGTGATCTCCATGCTTGATGTATTTTATTGTAATGAATTTCTTCCAGTAACACAATAATGCTTGATGTAAGTTTTCTTTTTCATTTATTATGATTATTTTTTATTATGATTATTTTTTATAATGGTCTTTTTTATAGAAATTATTTTAAATCTCAGTGCATGTGCACCATCAAATCGGTACAACGGAACAAAGATAGATGGATTTGTCTCTACTTTACATAAATCCAATATATTCTTCTTTTGTCATCTCACTGATACCAGGTTGTAGCCCAGTGTCGTGGTTTTCTGTATTTATCTTGCAATTCTCTGGAGGCTTGAGTGATGGATTTGCTCATTTGTTTTGCACGTTTCAGCAACATCATTTATCCATCTCTTTCTTGGTCTTCCTCCCAGATGTTCTACTGTAAAAAGTCTCATATATGCAGTCTGGTCTGGTTGCATTCTCACTAGATGGCTGAACCATTTAATTCTTTGTCAGTAAAATCCAGACAAGGTCTTATTCCCACTTTCTCTCTAATGCTGGTATTACTAACCCTGTCTCGTCTAGTGTTGTTAGTGACCTTGCAGAGACAGCGCATTTCACATGTAGTTAATTTTCTGTTCTAGTGCCCTATTCATTGTCCATGTTTGGCACTGATGACATAAAGTAGAGATAAAGATGCTATTAATTCCAATATATTAAATCAGATATATTCATTAGTTTATCTGCATATAGGCTGCCAGTACAATCTTTGGTATAGCAGAAAGTCATTGCAATTATTTCTGCCTTTGTTCACATATTGATCTGAATTAATTGCTACAGTAATGCCCAGTGTAGCACTAGTTTACCTTTTTGGGTTCATTTTTATGAAAATTTTCTAGAATCTCAATCCACATGTGTACAAAAACTGTTGTTAAAAATACACCACTAAATATGTACTTCCAATCAAACATACAGATCCAACTGTCTCTGCTTCACATAAAACCCGGAGATTGTTAGTTAATCTTTGTTATCTCCCTTAGTTTATCTTTATCTTATCTCCCTTCCCCTGTAGGCCGCCACTGAAATCATTTTGTAAATAATTCTGCATTTTCTTTGTAACGGTATTGAATTGAAAATGAATTTATTCCAGTAATGACTACAATAATTTAAATAATGAAGAAAGTATATTGCACAATTTACTGCCTGAAATATTTGCTGGATCTTGTCCGGTGTGTTTAAAAAAAAAAAATTTGACATCAACATTTATTGAAGCACAAACAGTTATTCCTTTCAAGTGAAATAAACAAACTAAACAAAACAAAACAATCAATCATGTTTCTTACGTCCTTCTTAGGACGTTATTTTTTGTTATTTGAAGCCCCACTCTGGCTATTGCCAGGGGCCGCAATATAGGCAGGTCATCATTATGGCCAAATGTCTGAACACGGTTTCTGGGACCTCTCCACATTGATCCTCATCCGCATGGTGGCACTTTGTGTCATCGGGTGTTTATCGCTTGTGTGATGTCCTGGTGGGGTAAAAAGCCAATCCAAGCCAACAAACTAAACAATCCATTGCTACATTGTACATCTCACCAAGGATCAAGCGATCTCTGATATACCACCTGATCATTTTGTTTACACAATGCTGAATTGCCTATCCTGACTCCAGCTGAAACAGTAGGCTATATGATTTACAACAGAACAAACTAAAATGTTACTAAAATAATGCCTGAAGGAGCACTAGTTACCTTTTTCTGAAAGTCATTTTTGTGAACATTTTCTGGAATCTCAATCTACTTTGTTGAAAAGAAAATGTCCGCCATTATATATGTACTACAGATCAAATGTATAGACAGATCTGTCTCAGTTTTTTTTAAATACTCATACTAATAAAATTATTCATTATTTCTAGTATATTTGTAGATGTCTTTTTTTAAAGCAGATCTTTACTTTTCACTCCAGTTATGACAGTTTGGTTCTCATTTCTGCCGCTTTTGTTTTTCATTATTTCTGTAAGACACGGTTGAAATAAAACCAGCGGCCACATTTCTTTCATTCTTTATTTGTAAATTTAATACAGCTAACAGAAATTAGTGTGAAGCTAAATACTGATCAAAAAATTTTGTTTCAACAAAAGAACCAGTTATTAACTAACTACAATAAACACTCCACATTCTGGTTGTTGCTGGTGTTTTTTATCATTGATCTTTTGTAAGAATACATGACAATTGCTGAATCTTGATGCATTGTTTTGTGTGTGAGAGCTAATTATTACATTTGTGGTGAATTTACTAAAAATATATAGTGGTTCATTGTCCGTGATACTCCATTGCACAAATTGGTGATATATTCTTCTTGTTGTGTTATTACTGCTTTGTACTTTAAATTAATTTGTAACTTGGTGTTAGGGATTAATAGAATTCAGTTGCTGTAAAATAAATCATTGAAAGAATAATTCCTACCAGACACTGTTAAATCATCAGCAGGTCATGTACAGAATGTCGCTGTCATCTCTGCACGCCTGAAAGTTTCTCTTCCTCTAGCCTGTTCTCCAGCCCTGTGTGCTTTCATAGCTAGTGCATCTTCAGTGTCTTGTGTTACCTTTGCGAAGGTTAACCTATGTCTAATTGCCTGGAAACTGTACACTGTCTCCCTGTTCTTCCCTGGCCATCCTAATGTTGAACATGGTAAAATACAGCGTTAGCCCAGTTAATAGGAGGCTCGCTTTTAAATCCAGCTGCAGCCCACGGTCGGTGTTTGAAACGGGGTGTTTCCCGGGTTCACCCAGCCTCTAGGTCATGGGTACCAAAGTGTTAACTCTGGGGTAAATGGAGGAACGTTGCTGTAGCTACGGAGTTGCGTGTGAACAGCGACACAGGCGGAAAGTTTCTAATCAGCTGTCCATACTGGTGGCAGAGCACTTATGGTTTATAACCACGTGCAGTGACGCTGGTTCACATCTCCCGACTTTACCTTTTACTTCAGCTTTTGGGACAGGATGCTGTTTGTGAGCCAATTCTCATCAGAGCTTAGATCATGTAGGATGTCAGTTTTTTCTTCTTCTTGGTCCTTGCTATTCTAAGAATTTTTCTTGAATGATTTGAGTGTCCATGACTCACATCCAGAAGTTGGCACAGTAAAGATGCATGATCTCAACGTTTCATGTTGGTTGCAGCACACCCACACAAAAAAAAGATAAGTTCTCGACCTTTGGCATGTAGGGATTTTATATTTTTTGTTCTTGCTCATAAGGATGTAACCTTGGGAAAAGAGGGTGGGGGGTGGTACGAGGTTGCCCAGTGGCTAGATACCTGCATGCCAGACCAAAAGTCTTGGATTCAAAACAACATTGAGGTGGCTTTTATAATTGATTTTGTGCTTCCATGTTAATCCAGTCTAAACTGGTACCAGGAAAAGTATTGAGAAGTGTGGGTTTATGCCCGGTGTACCCATGGTGTAAAAAGGGTCCTTAACTTTGCCTTTAGCTATTATGTAGTCATCACTGACTCTGTGACTGAAAAATTGCTGAGCACATTTAAGGTACAAAATACAATTGCTGCCCGAGAAAACTGATTTGTGAGACTAGTATGGACCTGAACATCTTTAGGAGGAGCAAGGCGGGACATTATTGTGTTTGTAGCAGAGAGCCCAGCATGTTCAGGGAGAGCTGACTTTCACCTGGCCAAGAATGGGGTATGGTGTCTGAAGAGTACATTTTTGGACACCCAGCTGGTTGATTGAACAGGATTTGTATGCGAAAATTTACTACTACTGGTATGTTAGCCTACAGAGAGAGGGGTAAAGATTCAATCTCTAGAAGTGGCTAATTTTCATTCTTAAAAAATCCTGGAAAAAAGGGGGGGGGGGGGCAGGACAGCTCAGTGATGATTCAACCTCATGAAAAATGGACACCAGGTAATTTCTAGTTTTCTCAGAACTGTCTTTCGAAAGCTGATAATGCAAGAAACTGGCAACCATCGTACA